TCTTGCATGGAATCATTTTGAATAGTACACGCCTTAATTTTTCCCGGATTAGCCCCTGTGCGTTCGTGAAGGTGTCGCATGGTTTCACCACTCGTACACACGTGAAACCGCTGGGGCCTTATAGACCGAAGCTTTTTCGAGCCCAACTGCCTCAGGTTCTCATCAAGCCCGACGCCAATTTCATCACTATCACTTTGCCGAGTCGATGGCCGAGGTGCAGAAGATCGCTGAAGGTTTCCTCTTGGACTTGGCCCGGCCGCTGGGCGAAAGCAACAGCGGGGGCACCGAGGGCCCGGCCCTTGGAGGCTCTAAAGACAGGTATGCGCCCCAGAGCTTGCTCATGGTGATGTGGTGAGAATGTGCCCAGCCCTCAACCAAAGATACAATATCAATACACTGAAACTCAAGTTTGGATTGCCAAGATTGCCACTGTGCCAGCTGGTCCAGCCGACTGGTCTCAGATGTCCAAAAGCATCCTGAAGCTTGCAACTTTAAAATCCTCCTCTCACTTGAGGCTGTGTGACTATTATGCATATATGACCCGTAGCAGAATCCGTCCTCACTTTCCACAGCTTTCCACAAAAAGGATCAAAAAGGGCAGACACGCAGCATGGCAGATTCTCCAGCAGACGTTCCGTCATGGTTCCGCATCAGATACAGGACCAAGCTTTTCCCCACATTTTCGTATTGGGATTAGGTGGCGATTCAGTCGACGAACGGATCATTTCACATATTCGAGCATGGCAATCAATGGGGAATCAGCTGCCGAAGCCTCGGAAAGGACCTCCACATCTCAATCCGCCCGAAACAGCCGAGGTATGAGGAGTCCATCGCTGTGATGAAGGCTGCGGCAGATCTTTGGCAGACTGCAGGGCCAGCCCAACGTTCTTTGTGCTCGAGAGAATGCCTCCACGGGCGCAAAGTTGTTCTTCCTGACTTGGCAGAAGTTGAGAAGAGGACCTCAGTCAAACCCGGGGGATTTGAAACCCTCTTGGTGACACACAATTAGGGCAGATTGACATCCAGGGCGACAAGCGGAGAGAGAGAGAGAGAGAGACGGGATTTATGATCATCCATTGTGCTGTTCCCAAGTTGCCGCAGTGATGCAGAGTGTTTGTTTGTCACAACCTTCAACAGACCACCAGGTTACTATCCCTCCTCTCGTCCTCTTCAGGATCACCGCGATCCCTGTCGCGCAACGGGTGGCAGCGGAGGTCGCCGTGCCTTTGGCCGCGGCGATGTGGCGGGTGGCTGAGGAGGAGGGGTCAAGGATGCTGGACGCTCGGATGGAGGGAAAGGGATCAAGGCGGCTGGACCTGACCATGGTTCTACCCGTGCAGAAGCGGGCACCTAATTGCTTGATCCTGGTATTTTGGTGCTTTGGCTGCATTGGTCTCACATGGGTGGTTTGTAGCAGTTTTCCTTCTACATTCACCATGAGGACACTTGGCCTGCTGAGCTGCTGGGCGAGAAGAAACTTTGTTGCCACGAGGCGGAGGGTCCGGCAATGGAGTTTGAAGACCAGCGATCGCGGCATGCCTTCCGTGCGGAGCAGGTGGCCATGGACTATGAAGATCAACGATCTCTGCAGGTGGGCATTGAAACTGGGGACGCATTTATAGAAATACACTATCACTAAATACACCGTTGTGCGGTAAGAAACTTTAGCATCTTTAAGTCAGAACCCTGAACATTGCCAAACCAAAGGAAAAGCACGATACTGAACTTGTCACCTTTTCCCCTCTACATTTACATTAAATGGGCTGCCACGGAGGCCCAGACGTTTGATGTGGTGCTCAGTTGGAGTTTGGGGTTGCGGTGCGCATGCCTATGGTTGGGACGTCTCAAACCGCAAAGGCTTTCAAAGGTGTCGAAGGGCCCCTGTCTTTTGCCCAAGTTTTTGCTCACAAAATCCTAAGGAGCTGAAACTGTTGTCGCTTCGCCAAGCGGCCGCAAGATCGGCACGAAGACCGTCCCGCAGAGCAGTTCCGAATTTTATTCAGAAAAACTCCCAGGAATCCTGGTGCATCCACTGTGGCTATGTGTCCACATTTGCCTTCAGCAAGAGTCAGTTAAGCAAAGGCCGGCGAACCAGACGTTGTCGAAGCTGCATCGAAGATGAGCAGAGGCCTTCAGTGGACAAACTGGAGGTGAACCGCCTCAAGAAGCTTCAAATGCAGGTGGCCTCGCCGCAAGCACAGCTGAGATCCCTGGCACGCAAGGTTGAGCGATTGCCCAGCCGAGCAGCTGGCATTGAGGTGATGGAGTTGAATCGCTGAAGCAGGATCCTTCTTGGCCAAGGGTTGGGCCATGTTGGGCCATATCGTGCTCCAATCGGGCTGCTTTTGCAGATCTCGTCATCCAACTGGCACTTACAAAATTGGTTGAAACGTGACTTGTTGAAACATAAGGCTTAAGGGGCAGCCCAACCATGCCCAACCTGTTCATGAAGGATCTTCCTGTGGCCACGACATTTCGTGCCAGAGGTTAGGGGTTGGGGGACTGGAAGGCTGAGTGTGGCTGGATGGACATGGGGATCAAAACTGGGCACGGGGCGCAGCCACAGGAGGCCACTTGCCTGCCATGTTAGAGTTCTTAGGCTGGCACGGCGGTCTTGACACCGCATCCAGCATCCAGCGTTTGGGGTCAGAAAAGGGCCGAAGTTGAAGGGCCAGCAATTGTAGCAGAAGATCCTTATGGTTGTGAAGATCTTATGATTGAAGGCACGCAGATTGAATGTCAGCGTCCACAAATCCGCAACCACATGTTGAAAGACCGGTCCCGGTCCCTCCATCACGTTCATCTTCTCAATGCCATTTCTGGGGTAAGGATGCTGGGGATTGCTGTGCATCTTCATGACTGGTGAAAATTCTTGGGGCTTCTGTCATGGCTGCTACAATAGTCGCCCGAAAGAGAGCTGTCAACATCGAAGTCTTCACAAGAATGCAGACCCTAGAAGCCAAGTAGGGCAAGTTCCCAAAATCAGGTCCCCATCAGATCCTTGTGTTTTAAACATCTTGGACTACAGGATGTTTCGGGTGTTCCTGTGCTGCCGATCTGGTGCCGACCATGCACGACTTGCAGCTTCGGAGGCCCAGAGGCCCCAGTGAGCGGTGACCGGTTTACATTCGCTATGAGTGAGGTCCACGCGCCAAGCAGGTTCCTTCCACGAAGGGCAGATTCATCATGATTCATCCATGATATATCGACAACACTCGAACGAATGTCCGGAAAGAACTTACACAGATGATTTGATGATTATCTCATATGAAATGTTTCAAACATTATTAACATATTGGATGGAGCACGTATTGCCGACACATATCCCAAGGTAGACAGATCGCATCTCTGGATTTCCTTCGACTGCCCATCGCATCTCATGCGGCACGAACATGGCCATGGCGAGTGTTCCGGGCCATGGCCATTGAGGCAGCTGTTGCTAGTGTCATGAGATGGCTATGGGTCAAAACCGGGCCGAAAATGAACCGAATAGATTACAAGGGAGGTCAACCCACCAGAGTTTAGGGCTCATGGTGCAGAAACAAAAATCGTCTCATGTCGATTCTGGGACCGTCGATCAGTCGTTCTGATCACTGGTTCGGAGCATTTCAAGGATTTCCAGAGCGGTTGTCACAGCAACACAAGACGCAGGGACCGATGAATCGTTGCGTCGAGGGACCGATGCCTGACAACGCGTCCAGTCCTGGCGCGTCGTATTGCGACCCGACCAAGACCCGGTGGGGGCGAGTTGGACAGATGCTGCTTCAGGTGGAGGCTGACGGGCGGCCGGAAGCCCAGGATGTTCAGGGGCCAGTGGTTTGGGAGAGCTGTTACTTAGTGGGAGGTCATGCTTCCACAGGCACGACGCCTGAGACATGCATATACAAAATGAAAGGTGTACGGGGTTGGGGTTTGAATTAAACTAAATATAATTGACTAGTGACTAGGCCTTATTCGGACCCTTCTGTAGGGCAGGGGCGCATATGACAGGGTCGTTCTGGACCTTTCCATAGCAGCCCAGACCTCACAGCCTTGCCTTCCAGCCACCGGGTCCGACCGTTCAGTGCCCTGTCGCAGTTTTGCAGATGCAATGCACGTTTAAGCTATGCGTGGGTGGACATCCTGCTATACAGATATGCAATATATATATATATATACACAAACATTCTGATATGACAATTGAACTGACTATAGCACATCACCCTGGCGGAAAGGGACCGATCAATCTCCTTGGATTGTTTGGATTCTGGGTGCTATTTCAATATGGCTTCGGCAGAATTCTTCCCTGTTCACCCGGCCATTCCGCGAACAAAACAGCGGCTGACGTTGCACGATCCGAAGTGGAAGAACTCCAGCCACGGTCAATGACAAATGCTCACATTCGGACATGGCGCCGTGCTGGTGCGGACGCCCGTGCACGTCGGAGAACGACACCGCCTGGGAGAACGACCGCGTAAGGGAAGCGCCGCCGGGAAGTTTCTTTTTTCCATGCCACTGGAGGGTTGCACAGCTGGCATAGTCACATGCCAACTTACTTGTCAATCATCTAACTGGTGCTCAGTAAGGAATGAGGGAATGGAGCCGAAGGTATCTAATTATATACCTATAGTGGATGGACCATTCATTCCCAGTGTCATTCGCTTATTCCTTACTAAACGCCAGTCAGTCATGTTGGAAGGCTTGGATCAATCGTGTCCAGATCACCCACTCAACACACTCCGTGTCCAGAGCACCCAGTCAGCGTTCCTTTTGCGCGGTGAGTGTGAGGTGCTTTTCGTGACCCCGGCATTGAGCGGTTCTGAGCGCTTCGAAGCTCAGGAACGCTTTGCTGGGCATCGCTGGTTCCTGACAGCCTTTGGGCTGTGGAGTTCCAGAACGACCCCGGAACCGGGGGAGTTTGGGGTCTACTTCCGGTCCAGGAATGGGCGGGTGTGGAATTTAGAGCTTTCAATTTTGTATAAATATTATAAATTATCATAAATTTTCAATTCTAGAAGTTATCGTTTCAACCCCCGGGTCCGTCGAAGCCGCAGATTTCGAACAAGAAGCGATGTTCCAAACAAGGGTTGAAAGTCGATGTTGTGTGTGTGGAAGTGGATGTTTCGGGCTTTGAAACGAAACCGTTCAGCCAACAGCCAACTTCGACAAATCCCCAAGTAGTGGCCGTGTTGAGTCAAAGGAGTTGTTCAGTCAAGGAACGGAATTTGAGGCAGGGGCAGGTTCGAACAACATTTCTCAAATGCTGTCAGGACTTGCAGATTACTGGACAATGGCTAGTCACACTTTTGAGGGGGAAGACGTTTTTTTTTGGCTTACATCCACTACACACACACATGTTTTCCACCAGAGTTGAAAGGTATTCGTGGCCTAATTCTTGCAATTGGGGTGCGCCCTTTTCCGATGTGATTTTGTCAAACCCATTGCCGCGAACGGCTGTAGAATAAATGTTGCGCCTATGCTCTGGAGCCAGGGCTTTCATAGCTTTGGTCCCCTCAGTCTTTTAGAGCATGTGACTGCTTTGGTCTATGTTCCTTCTTCCAGACATTTTTTTTGTTCAAGCATTTGGCCCCACACACCAGCCGTTACTCTAGACAGGGATGCGGTAGGTAGGGATAGACGGTGGACATGTAACTCGCCCAGGCTGGGTGCTTGGCTTGCCCACGCTCGGTGGGTCGAAAGGCGATGGAGGCCGGCGTTTCGTTTCCAAACGGCCAAGGCCAAAGGGCCAAACTCAGAACCACTCGTTTGTGCAGGTTCTGTCCATCAACGGTTCTGTTCTCAAAGTGAGTTTCTCGAGTGCTTGGGCTGCTCGGCCGATGCTTTTGGCCTCTGAGGTCTCCAGTGCCGATGCCCTCCAAGCCCGCATCCGCGCACTGTGCGCCAGCGGCCGAGCGGAGCTCGTGCAGGAGGTGCAGGGTGGACATGGCGACCAAGCACAAGGAGGACAGAAGAACAAACAGGAGGAGGCAATCCACATGAGCATAGACAATACATGTAGGCTGTTTGTTGGTTATATCATAGCTATACAAACAACATAACAAAACAACCAAAGACATATGGATAGGTTTTACCATCCGTAAGGGGGGTTTATGAATCAACAGCCTACATTATGTAAGGAGGCGGGCGAAGAACTGGCAAACAAGTTGCTCTGGCAACACCGGACGGAGTTGTTGGTTGCCATGGGCATGACGTGGCAAGGCAGTCCAACTTTGCTGGTGTGAGCCATCAAGTTCGGCATATATAGAATCATCAGGTTTGGCCTGTATGAGCCCCTGGCCAAGAGCTGAACTTATGCCCAATTGTTCAATAAACGTACCCCCATGCGGATAAAATGGACGGCCAATCAAGCCACACAAGAAAGAACAGATGAAGAACTTGCCAGGGATCCCAAAGACTCTACTACATGCTTTCCGTTTCTCCGTTTCAATCGAGTGCTTCAAATTCGATGCACTGTGCATGTGGTTTGCTGGAGATGTCCGGGGAGAAATGCTTTCCTGTTTGTCCGCGAGGCTAACTCCTTTCATGATCATTTGCTGGTTCCAAAGCTTTTCCAGTACTCTGAAGTGTGAAGTTCACTGAAGTGCCCCTCCTCCTGCACAGAAGTTCACTAAAAGACTTCCAAGATGAGAAAGATGCGACTTTCCAGCCACAGTTCTGAGTCCAACTGTCGGACTGGACCAATGGACCCAAACAGCATGTCGCTTCCCCCTACCACTTCTGCCCCTCCGCACCCCATAGCCGCGCCGGGAAGCGACTTCGGCCGGCGAACGCCCGGGCGGAGCAGTCGCAGGTGCCTCCAGATGCCTGGCGTTGCAAGACCCTGGTGGTGAGCACCCAAGCGCTGGAAGGAGCGGAGAAGGACGCAGGGGCACAGACGGCGGTCCTGGTGGTGTTGCGCTTGGAGCAGCGGCTGAGCCTGCCGAAGCTCAAGCCTGGGCGCTGAGGGGCGCTGCATCGGATGGGATGGTGGTGAGTGGTGCTGGTGGTTTGGGGCTGTTTGTTTCTGGAAGCCAGGTTCAAGGGCAAGGATGGTCCGAGAGAAGGTGAACATTTTAAGTAAACAAGTATATTATATAGTCACAAAGACATACATCTATGTTTATATATATATAGACACACATATATATATATATATTATATCATAGATACAGTAAGACAGAAGGACTTGTTGCGATGCAGATGGCCATGCATCTCGCAGTGTCTCACGCTGTCCAGGTGAATCCAAGTCCGCCGCCAGACCTAGCTGGCAAACCCAGCACGTTTTCGGGAGTGTACACCATTGAGGATCTCTCAGATGGACTTGTGTATCCCAGGGTGGCCCCAGCCAGGTGATGCAGGTGATGGTCTCGGTGTGTCGTAACATTTTCCAGCAACAACTGGAGTGATTCACCAAAGAATGGAGTTCATGGTCAACTGGAAGTTGTCATGAAAATCTGATTTGGGATGATCTAGGGGATTTCTTGAAGCTGTAGAGACCTGACCAGGTCCTTCTCCTCTGAGGCAGTTGCTCAAGCCGCAGAGGCTGAAGATCTTGGGCTTGGCCTCGCCACGCGAGGCGGAGGACGTGATCGGCTGCAGTATGGGAGCCACGGCGGGGAAGGGTGGAGGATGGAGCGTGGAAAGCCCGGAGGGTCGGACGAGACCTGCCAAGCCACCAGGTCCAGGCGTCGAGACCTTTGCATGATGGACAGGAGCTTTTGGATGTTGAGAGAAAGTGAAGTTGCAATAGGCAAGTCAGTCATCCCATGAACGACCTACGAACACCCGCCCCAGAAAGGCTCCAAAACCTTCGAGGCCTGGTGCCTCCGGTCTGCATCGAGCCGGCGCGCCGCGTGATTTTGGACACGCACCTCTTCCAGGCGGATCGACGGAGTGGATCGCGTGCTCCTCCGAAGGGTCGACGGAGCGGATGGATGTCCGTTCCTTTTTTGTTCTCCTCTGTTTGGGGGAAGGAATTGTTTAACTCCTGTTTGGGGGAGACAATGGAGGAAAGGGGGGTGGCGAAGGGTGGTTGTTTTCTTCGTGGCATTTAGTCTCACTTGGGTCAACTTCGATTCTTTGCTGACTATATATGTATAGATACTTGTCACGAAGCCAAATGACTCAAGAAGTTTGTTTAGGTGGGTCGAGAGCACGAATGAGCTGTTGCTGTTTAATTTCTGATTCCTATGTGGTGCGGTCGCAGTCGCGATCTGAATTCAGACGCTTAGATGATTGGCCAGTTGAGTGCCCTACCAGCTGCACCACAGCAATCCGATCACTATCATTACAGGGCATTAAAGATACATAAAGATACTAAAGGGCAACATTGACCACAAATACATGATTGAGAAGGTCCTATATGTGTGGTGAAACTGAAGTGAATGAAACCTCGTATATCCTCATCGAGTGGTACCACTTGGAAGGGGCGGGGCGGTGGTTTTCAGCCGCACCAGACACGCGGACACGAGACGAGGCAGGCACCAGTCCCGCAGCGGGTCCGCGCCTCGTGCTGGGCGCGGCGGACGAGGAGATGCACTTGGCCATGTCGCCACGGGAGCTGCTCCTGGAGACCGAGGCATTCTATAAAAGGTCTCTCAGGGAAAATCCGTCCAGGAAATCCCACTTTGGGGTGAAAAATCATGAAACATAATCTTTTCCCGCAGATGCTTCCTTGAACGAATCCGTTGAAACACCGCTGTCGTGTGAACATGCTGAAGGACATGCGGCTTTGATCGCAAGTACTGGTATCAGTCACAACCAGTGGAGGATTGTTTCTCAGTGAGGCACATTTTTTTTGTTGTGCGCCATTTTGGTACCGGCCATGAGCCAAGCATGAGCCAAGCAAGTACATGTTCCACCTCCATTTATTGCCGTTTATCTAGATTTGTGGGTGGCTCCAAACAGCGCCGGGCAGGGTGGAGTAACGCCGGCTGTTGGCATTTCGCGGCTCCCTGCCAAGGAACCTAGATCTAGATCCAGGGCATCCCAGCCTCCCAGCTTGTGGTTTTTCGACTGCATAATGCGCATAACGGATAGTTTAAATTTAAAGGTGTGGCTACTGGGTCATTGGGTTTTCAGACAGAGCTGCATGTGGGATTGGCAGAGCTTTTGAAGTGATGTGGGAGCATTTCAGCAAGCAGTTTGACGTTGTTGTCAGAGATAGATGTCCCATCCTCTTCAACATCATAGGCGATCATAGTAATGATGACCCTGGCCCTCTTGGTATTTGGCATTTGGACACTCGGCCCAAACATGTCCAAAAACACCGAGAGAAGACCAGATAGACATGACAGCTGGAGACCTCTACCTGACACCTTTCCTGGACCAGGCCTGCATCGCTGAGATCTCGGACAGTGGGCCAGACACGGCTTTACCCGAGTTCCCCCTCCGAGCGGGGCGAGGCAACACAGCCGCACAGCGGCGCGAAGTGGGGGTGGCTTTTGCCTCCTCCTGTGGTGTGGGCATGGAAGTTGAAGAGGCTAAGCTTGAAATGCATCCATTGCCCCCTCGTGCCCCCCTTCATTTCATCCATTGCCCCCTCGTGCCCCCCTTCATTCCCCCCTTGGGTTTCATCCATTGCCCCCTCGTGCCCCCCATCATTCCCCCCGTGTGTTTCATCAATTGCCCCCTCGTGCCCCCCTTCATTCCCCCCTTG